TGGCATGGGAACGCCAAGCCCGGCACGGTAGCGGCGGCTGACTGAGTAATGGCACAGCCGACCGCCGCGGCAGGCCACTTTGCACTCCTGCCTGCAATGCATGCACCCTTACATGTGCAGCCTTCTGGTATTTTCATGTGCCTGGGAGATGTGCGGGCATGGGGGCCCATGTGCCCCATGCCATTTGAGTGCCCGGCGGCGGCGCTGCCTGCCGCCGGGAGCCCGCACCAGCATCGGCACCCGTCGGCCTGGCAGGCCTAAGCTGCTAAGGATCCCCACGTCCCCCACCACGTTGTGGGGGTTGCGTGTCCGGCAGGACGGGGAGCGGGGCCAGGGTGGGGTGACCCTGGGACGCTCAGCTGGGGGGAGGGTGGTCGGAGCCATGGAGAGGGTGCTCCATGGTCCACCCCCTCTCTTGATGCCCCTTGATCACGTGTGCCCCCTGCCCAAGGTCTGCTCACGCGGCCTATCATAGCGGGGTGACTGTAACACAGGGTTACTTGAGCCATTATCCTGCCATCCAAGCTGCAACATGATGCTCTCCTGCGCCACCAAGGGCATGCCCATGGGCAGCCCCAGGCCGGCCTTCCGCCCAGCCAGCACGCACAGGCCTCGTGCCAGGGCCGTGCTGGTCGTGAGATCTGCGCAGCGGCCGTCCAAGGCAGCCAGGGCCGGCGCCGCTCTGGCGAGCGTGGCGGCCGCGGCGGCACTGCTGCTGGGGGCGCCAGGTGAGGTCTCCAGAGGGCGCTGTGTGCGGATCTGGCCACCCGCCACGCGACATTCTGTGGGCACCAACCAGATGCTGGCACTGAGCCGCCGCCACGCGCTGCCGTATGTGCTTCTGCAGGCGCGGGCCTGGCAGCCGACCGCGCCGTGGGTGCCACCGTCATTCCGGCCGAGGCCTCCGACATCCCCGCCCGCCAGCCCATGCCCGCGCCGCCCTTCTGCCCCGATGACCAGGCCCCCTGCCCAGACGAGGAGCAGGGGCAGGGGGTGGAGGGCTTTGACGCCACCCAGGCGAGTGCGAGTGGCAGCGTGCAGCTGCTTGTCAGCATGCTGTGTGTGAGTACAGTGTGTGGGTGTGTGCTGCGCTCACCGGCCTGCTTTGCCTGAGCGGCCCGCTGCAGGGCGTGAGGAACCTGCAGGATGACCTGAAGAACGCGGCGGAGGCTGCAAAGGAGGGCGCTCGTGGCCTCAAGGTGTGCCGCAGCTCTGCCGCCCGCCTCCTGTCGCCCCGGGCCGCATGCCTCTGGATGTTTCTGGCCCAGCGCTCTGCTCCCCGGCCCGGCTGCCTGTGCTGCGCCGTTGCTCCGGCAAGCAGCCTGCTCGGCGCGTCTTCTCCCTACAGCCCTGCCCCTGCTGTAGAGCATGCCAGCCATCTCTTGAGCCCGCCGGTCCTGCTGCTTGCCCGCCGCCGCCGCCCGTGCACCGCAGGAGGGCGCTCAGTCTGCGGCGGAGCAGGCGGGGTCTGCCATCAAGGCCGCCCCCGGCAAGCTGGCTGGCGAGGCGGAGCGCAGGGCCCAGGAGCTGGGTGGCGGCGACAAGGCGCCCTCTACCGGCCGCGGGGAGGGCTGGCTGCGCTGAGCGGCGCTCGGCTGGCAGCGGCGCGGCGTGGGCAGGGCTGCTGGCTGCCCCTCCGAGTTAGCAGGAGCCACCATGCGCCTGGCCAACACTTCCAAGGTTCGAGAGACTGCCTTTGGAACGCAGCAGTGCAGATTCTTGCAGGCCTTCTTGTTTTAAATTCATTGATTCGTTGAGAGAGGTATGTGCATGCGGCACAGGATGATGTGAAACAAACGACGCTGCTCAGCAGCAGGACAGAGCGGGCCCAGCTTCCGTCAACGACCAAGGCAGGAAGAGGGCAAGCCAACCAGCAGGGGCAGAGAAGGCAAACACTACAGGGCTGGTGAAAAAAAGGGGCCATTCATTATGGAATTGGCAGCACGGTGGAACTGCCACAGGCCCCAAACAGGCTCGGGGATGGCTGGTCAGCGCAGACAGGACCAGAGGGTTCCTTCTTCTCTACATTGAGGCACTATTGCGGCGCGGTGCTGGTGGGACAGGGGGACAGGACAGTGCTGGGCAGGGGCCGCCTCCCGGGCGTGGGCGCCAGGCAGGCTTTGGGCGCCCGCGCTCCCCAGCGCCTGCTGTCGCTCACGCCAGGGCGTACCCAGCCAGCTGCTTCTGGTGGTGGAACGCCTGCTGGTGCTGCATCGTGCAGGGGGAGGCCAGCTTGGGAGCCACAGCGGCCGGGGTGGGCACGGCGGCAGCGGCGGCGGCCGCCGCCGCGGCCTGCTGCTGCTGCTGCAGCAGCGCCACCAGCTGGGCAGACTGCTCGTACGCCGTGATCGGCGCAGCGGCGGCAGCGGTGGCGTGCGCGGGGTGGTAGGTGGCGGGCAGCGCCGGCGCCGGCGCCTTCGCCTCTGCGGGCGCTGGCGGCGCCAGGCTGGCACGCTTCAGGGCCGCACGCTGGGAGGTCAGCAGCGCCTGCATTAGCTGCACGTCCCCTTCAATCTCGGTGGGGTGCAGAGACAGCGGGATGGGGCGGAACTGCGGGGTGGGGAGGAGAGGCGGGGACGAGGGGGCGGCGAGGCGAGAAGTTACGGCGGAGGCAGGAAAAGCCTCGGCCAGGCTGGCAGGGCCAGGCATTGCCACGGGGCCTCCGCAGCCGCAGCCCAGCTCACCATGTAGGGCATGTAGTAGGTCTGGTGCTTCACTTTGGGCTTCTGGGTGCCGCGGCGCTTGGGCGGCATCTCAAGGTTGGCGGTACTGGAGGTGGCAGGCTGCAAGGCATGGCGGCGGCGCCATGTCTCAGCACCCAGCACCTGTTCAACCCGCGTCGGCGCGCTGAGCAGGCCTGCTGGCCTGCTGGCCGCACCCCCGCTGTCCAGCTGCAATGGTCAAAGGGCCTCTTGCTGGGCGTGGCGTGGGATGAGCATGCGGCTGGCGCCTGCCTGCCTTGCCTAACTTTGACCGCAGCAGCACGGTCGGGCAGTGATTGGGCGGCGCAGCGGGGCAAGGTGCGGGGCAAGACAGGAGGCACACCTCCCGACCAACCTGCTCAAGGAGGCGTTGCTCACACGGTTGCCGGCAGCAATCTTGGGCTGCAGCACAAGCACACTAGCAGCCAAGGCCTGGAGGAGCTGGGCTGGGCGTGTTCCGGTGGGCGGGCGAGGACAGGAGTGAGGCAGACTCCGATAGTGTGGACAGGCGGTAGGTCTCCAGCTGATTAGTGCGACGGCAAAGATTACAGGTGAATGAATGAGGGCAAGCGCGGCCACCGCTGATTTCTCCTCATTTCCAGCCGTGCTGCGTGCTGCGGAGCCTCATGCAACCTCCCCGGTTATCATCCGCTTACCAAAACTTTGCGCTGGTTGTACCCGAATTGATGGTTGGGGGGATCAGATGAGTCTGCGACCAGGCTCCCAAATAAGGGGTCAGGTGTTGCTAGCGCCGCCGACGCCCGGCCGCGCCCAAGATACTTCAAAGGCGTGTTAACCTCCTGAGAACGCAGGATTTACATGGTGACAAGTTTATTTTCCAACTGCTTAGATGGTGGGACCCGGTGCGGCGCGGGCTTCAGCCCTTGCGGTGCGTCACGACGGGGCTGGCGGGGGCGCGTGCGGCAGACGGGGCCGGCGGGAGGGTGGGAGGGCGCATGCTGGCATACAAATCTCAGGAATGCTGCAGGAACAGGGTGGCAGGGCACATGTACAGGAGGCAACAAGGGATGGGGCCGCTGGGGCCGCTGGGGGGCTATGCCATGACCGCCTGCTGCTGCTGGGTCGGCTGCCCGGGTGGGGCCGGCGCGCCGCTCGCGCCGGCGCCGCCGCCGGCCGCCGCGGCCTTGCTGCTGCCCCACTGCTGCTGCTCCGACGGGTTGCCGCTCTCGTTCTCGTCCTCTCCCTGCTGGCTGCTGGGGCTGTAGTCCTCGCTGCTGGCCTCGCCCACGGCGGGCTGCAGCACCTGTGCGGGCCGCAGCCCGCGCTTGCCCGTAGTCTGCTGAATCAGCGACGCGAGGTGCTGCAGGTCTGCCTCGATCTCGGCCTCGCTCAGGGGCAGGTAGTACTCCCGGAACTCGCCGGCGGTCTGCGGCAGCCCGTGGGGGCAGGGGAACAGCGAGGGTCAGAGGTGGTCCCGGGGCGCGCAGCTGCCGGCGTGGTCGGGCGGCGCAGGGCTGGGCGGGTGACCGGTACCCGGGCCGACGGACGGCGCCCGGGCACCCACAGCCATGCCATGGTCCCATCAACCAGGTGAGGAGGCCAGGGGCCAAGAACAGGCGGTCGGGGGAAGCGGCTGCCACCGAGGCAAGGACCGTGCAGTGCAGCGCCCTCCCGGGCCCAGCAGGCCCCGTGAATCCAGCTGGGCGCAGGCGAGCGAGGCGAGGCGTTGCAGGAGTGCAGCGGGCGGCAGAGCAGCTGCCCAGCTGCGCATTCCTGAAATGTGGCTCGTTTGAGCAGGCCGCCCCAGGCAGCCCCACAACGCACCGTTATCAGGGCCTTGAACGTGGTGGGGCACCAGACCAGTGGCTTCCTCTTTTTTGGAGGCATGAGGGGAACGGGCAGCCTGGAGGCTGTAACGAGCTCGAGGCAAGGTTTTCTGGATGCCCGTGACTCTGATTTCAATCTCCGATGCGCAAGGCGACCGGATGGAGGGCTGTGGGTTGGTGGGGCGTTTCCTTCCCATGATCCTTGCCACGTGGCCGACGTTTACCATCGATTGGCTTGATCGATGCCATCAGTTGTCTCCATCGACCACCTCCGCCGCCTTTCAAAAGGCCCTCGACCCCCTCTCTCTTCGGTTACAGCCTGTAGGGTCGATTTGTTTGCAAGCCATGGATACACGGCTCTGGGTGGGCTGCGCAAGTGGTCTGTCGCGCCCCGCCGCCCGCCGCCGCCGCCGCCAGCGCGGGCTGCAAAAACTGCTTCTCTGCTCAGCGGGCAGCCCACTGCCAGCTGCCGGCCGCTGCCTGCGGCCCCTTCCCAAAAACGGCGGCCCCGCTAGCAGGCCAGCTGCGCGGGGCGGGCCTCCATGTTCTGCACCAGCTCCAGGCAGCCGGTGCCCACGCCCACGGGGCGGCCCAGCACGATGCGGGCCGCCGGCGACGTCAGCGCGTCCACGTCGCCGTGCAGCGTGGCGGAGACCAGGAAAGAGGCAGCCGTCTCGAAGCTGATCTTGAGCAGGGGCGAGGTGCAGGCCTCGATGCCGATGCGGTTGCAGGCGCGGTAGCCGCCCTGCGAGGGGGCGCGCCAGGCGGGGGGCGGCAGGTGAGTGGGGGGTCTGCGTGGCGACTGGGCCGCGCGTCAAGGCCTAGGGCCGCAGGGCCTCGTGCCAGGGCCACCAGCCGGCGACGCCCAGCCAGCAGCTGACCCCAGCCAGCAACCAACCCAGCCGCACCACCCCCAGCCACCCCCAACCCCAAGCCCGCAGCCACCCCCAACCCCCAGCCCGCAGCCACCCCCAGCCAGCAATCACCCCAGCCGCAGCCACCCCAGCCACCCCCAACCCCCAGCCCGCAGCCACCCGCAACCCCCAGCCCGCAGCCCCCACCAGCCACTCCAGCCCCCACCAGCCACTCCCACGCCCCCACCAGCCCCAGCGGCCGCCCACCAGGTGCGTCATGTAGTCCGCGATGAGTATGAGGTGGCGTGGGTCCACCCCGATGCCGTAGGCCCCAAACACGCCCGAAACCTCCCGCACGATGCAGGCGCGGCACGCCTCCACGCCGTACGCAGCCAGCATGGCAGCGGGGCTGTTGCACGTCATGCGCTCGCAGTCCACCAGGTCCTGCGGGGTTTTGGGTGGGGCGGGCTCTGTTGGTACCAAACCATATGACAAAGCATCGTTTTGTACAGTTGTTTAGGCATTGTGGGGTGGGCAGGGCGGGGAGGGTGTGGTGGAGAAGGCGAGCGGCGGCAATGAGCGGCGGGGTGGTCCAGGTGACGGCGGCGTGCAAGGGAGGGCGTGGGCGAGACGCACAAGCCCAGAGCAGCCGGGGAGCTGCCCTCGTCCCGGGCGGATAGACGTGCACGGGGCTGGCGTCGCCCGCCCGCGGCGCGGCCCGCGGCGCACCTGCGAGGGCCACACGCCGCGGAGGTTGATGCCGTCCGTCTGCAGCACCTGGCTGCCATCGGCGCCCGCCTCCAGCGTATACGACTTGCTCACGCCTGCGGGGGCAAGGTGCAGGGGAGGAGCGGCGGGTGGGAAGTGATTGGGGTGGGTGGTGCAGGGAGGGGTGGGGGCTGCGCGGGGAGCGGCCATGCAGCGCAGCGCTGCGCTCCTTCCGCTTGTCGCAATCGAGCAGCTGCGGAGCAGGCGGCGGCGGGCGTGCAGGCCAGCCCCCCAGGCGCCAGCGGGGCGCTGACCTGGCACGCCGCGCATGATGGCCTCCGCCGCCACCTTCTCCACGATCTCCCTCATCAGCAGCTTGGGGCAGTCAAGCGGTACCGTGATGGATACCTCGCATGCCAGCCTGCCGCCGTCCACCTCGTGCGCCGACTCCAGGCCCGCGCCGCGCCCGCGCCGCTTGCCGCCAGGCGCGGGCGAGGCCTCGCCCTCCTCCTCGCCGCCGCCCGACGCATCGTCGTCTGCAGCGGGGGGGGGGCATGCAAGGCACGGGTCGGATGCCCATCTGGCGGCGCAGAGGTGGGGAGGCGGCACAAGCAGGCCTGCTGCTTCTTCTCTTTGGCAGGGCGGCAGGCAGGCAGGCCGCCAAGCTCTCTCGCCCACCACACATCGGACCTTTCACACAGACACCGCAGCAGCAGCAGCAGCAGCACCACCACCACCACCACGAGCACCACCACCACCAGCAGCAGGCCAGCCCACCCTCGTCGTCGCTGCCGGCGTGGCGGCGCCGCGCCTCGCGCTCGATCTCCTGCTGAATCGCTGCATCCTCCTCATCCCCCGCCCCATACGTGGCCTGCTCGCCCCGCCCCCCCGTGAACCGCAGCTTGCCCTCCCGGTATTGCTCATCCTCCTGCACCAGGCAGGCAGGGGGGCAGGCTGGGCGCAGGGGGTCGGCTGGGAGGCAGGGCAGTGCGGAGGAGGGCAGCCCACGGCAAGCACGCGAGAGCGACACCAGTCCCAGGACCCGGAGCGCCCTGCACGTGCTGCGACCATGCTGCGACCCGCAATTGCCAGCGCCTGGCATGCAGATGCGCATTCGCTTGCTGGCCTCGCCCCCAGCTGAAACCACCACCACCACCACCAGCCAGCCACCGCACAACCCGCGCCACCCCACCCCATCCCCACCCACCTCTGCATTCTCATCCTCGTCGTCCTTCTCGCTGCGCCGCCGCGCCGCAGGCGCATCCTTCTCGCTGGTCAGCTCCGCGGCGCCGCCCTCCTCGCCGCCGACGCGCGCGGACGCCAGCGGGGCGTTCTTGGCGCCCGCGGTGGAGGCCTTCTTGATGGCGGCCTTGATGGCGGCCTGCACCCAATCCAGATGATCCAGAGGGCACAGGTTTGGGTACAGACAACGAGGCGCCCAGGTGCGTGCGTGGTGGTGGTGGAGGCGGGGGCACGGCGGCCGGCCGGCGGTGCACTAGCGGGGGAGGGGACAAGGGCCCCCAAGCTGCGCAGCCGCCCCAACTCCCGCACAGGCATGCGCAGGCAGCTGCCCTACACCCGCAGCCCACCTGCAGCTTGGGCACAAAGGTGCTTTGGAAGCAGGCCGAGATCTCCTCCCACTTGACCTCCAGCTCCGGAGGGTACAGCTCCTCAGGATAAAACTGCGATACGGGTGGTACGGTACCGGCGGTACGCGCAGCGCGAGGTGTGCGTGGCGGCACGCAGGGGTGCCACAGCGACCGGGGGGCTGAGGGAGGGATGCTGCAAGCGCGGCGCAGCAGGCGCAGCGCAGCGCAGCGCGGCAGCCGTCCGCCCCACCGCCCAGTTGAGGGCCACAACAGCCAGGGCAAATCCATGCGAGCATGCGCAGCGCGGCGCGGCACGGCACCAGGCCAGCCCCCCCCCCCCACCTGCATGCGGACGGTGTACACGCGGCCCCGCCCAAACGCCACCGCATGCGTCTTGGCAATCACATTCTCCTCCACTTGCAGCGCTGCAGCGGGGCAAGGCCCGGGGAGGGGACAGGACTGAGGGGCAGCACTAGTGCGGGGCCAGCAGCAGCCATGGCAGGGGGAAGCGTGGTGGGTGGCTCCTGCCCGGCGCTGCACCAAAGACGGGCTGCTGCCGCTGCGCATGCAGCCCGCCCCCAGGCATCCACACTATCCTGTGATGATGATGCTGCTCATGGAAGGGGGCTGTGGTCGGGACACAGAGACACCCCCACCCCGCCCCGCCCCGCCCCGCCCAGCCCAGCCCGCAGCGCTCACATCGCAGCGCCTCTGCCAGGCGGATGCGCTTCAGGCGCACCGCCAGGTCTGCCGCCGCGGGCGCGCCCAGGCCGGCGTGCAGCGGCAGCGTCATGACGGGGGTCTTGATGGAGGCGGCGGCGGTCATGAGGATCTCGCGCAGCCGCGGGATGCCCAGCGTCACGTTGGCTTCGCCCCTCCCCGCCATGTGA